GTTTCTGAGGATGAGGGACTTCCTGTGCTAAAGCTGGGCTGTTCCGGCAGCTCCAAGATCTAAGGTCACCCATGTCTCCTGGTGTCCAGTGGGCCTGGGCTGAACCCTCTGAGGGCAAATGTCCTTTCAGAGATGGGTTCCTGCTGATGCTCCTTCAGAGCTGGACTTCCCTTGGGTTGGCCCTGACTTGACCATGTCCTCCTGCACCTGTGGTCATCTCAGCCCTCAGAGCAGCTGCTCATTTTGGGATAAAACGCACAAACTGTCCAGCTCAAACTCAACCCCTCCTTTCCCTGGCAGATCTGTGGGGCTGGGCATAGGTCAGATCCTTCACGAACCTGAAAAACAGGCAGTATATCAGGCTCTGATTGCCTTGAGACAGGAGCGGTTTATTCAAAAAGACCCAAAGCTACACTTTAAAAGATGGACCAAAAGGCACCTAGGCACAAAGGAGTGGGACAGCAGCCCTGGGCCTGTCCCCTGTGTGCTGAGGGAGTCACAGGGTCCCGTGCCGGGCGTCCGATGTGAAAGGGAGACCACGCAGACGAGACCCTGAGGGTCCAGGTGGAAACCTCCACTCTTGGTCCTCAGGAGCCGGTGCTGGGAGGCTGCCTGTTGTAGCCTGCTCAGGATCGCGCTCTCCGCGCCTGCAGTGGCTGAGCTGGCTCTCCACTCCACCTGGAGGGCAGGCTCCTGGCCCCTGCTCAGAGCCCTCAGGGCTCCACTGGGGTCTGTCTTCTGCCACGCGCCTTATGGCTAGTTTTCTCATTCTACAAAGACTGCGCTGCTGGAGTTGTGATAGAAGAACTTCAGTTTGCCGGCTAATTTGGAGGAGAAGTGACATTTTGGTGACGCCGGATGCCCCCTCCATAAGCACCTCTCCACTTGCCTAGGGGTTCTCTCGTGGCCTATGGCATGTTGTGTTTTATCCACAAGTTTCATCACTTGGTTGCTGTTGCCATAGCGACTGTTTTTGGTTTGTTACTGCTAGGGATGTCTCTGGGGGTCAACCTTGGAGACTCGGCAGTTCTAACAGCTTCTCGGTTCTCCCGGGTTTTCTAGTTCCTCTCCACCCCCACGCCTCACTTCCTTTTCCTGTTGCCATCCCATGTTCCCCTGAAGGACTAGGAGCGGTGGAGGGCTTCCCTGTGTGTTGCCCTCAGTGGGGATGATTCTGAAGGATTTGGGGACATAAAGTTTGGAGGTGAAGATTCTGTTAGATACACTTTATTGGTTGGGAAAATCCCTCCTATCCCTTGTGTAGCCTAACATTGCGGATGACTGCTCGGGAAAAACCGTGCCCTGCACCCCTGCACCTGGCCGGGTTCTCCTTCAGTGTGTTCAAGCCAACTTTTTGAGAGCACCATGTTTCTGCCATCGCTCATCTGTGCCTTGTGGACACCCCTGCTTGGGTAAGTGTCATCTGTGCCTGTGCAGGGTGGCGCTGGGGTTGGAGCCCGGGCCTCCAGTGGGGAGCAGGGCAGGCACACCTACTACCAAGCCGCACCCCAGCTCCTGGGACTTTTATTTGTAACATACTTCTGGGATTCTGGAATTTTTGTATTCATCTTCATAATTTCATGTTTTTCGTACATGATATCTGTCTTTGTGTACCAAGGAAAAACTTGCTTCAGGAATATTTATATTTTTTGTTCGAACCAGTTTGTGTAAATACCTTTATATGCCTAGAAAACCACCTGGTCTGGTACGATCTGGAGTCTTTTTCAACTCCAATTTAATTTCTTTGTTATTCATTCATCAACCCAAGCATTTTATTTCTTCTGGACTAATTTTTAACAATTTAGCTTTTTAAAAAGACGTCTCCTATTTTTTCTGTTTCCCAGACGAATTAGAAGGAATTTGTTCCTATGGTTCTCTCAATTGAAAGCTGTTATTCCTTGTGGACCAATGGGTCCGTCTTGTGAGGTTTCTTGGGGACAAGCCTTTGGCTTTGGTCTGTCTGGGTTTTGTTGTTTTTCTCCTTTCCTTTTCACACTTCTGATGAGTTTGCTGCACCTACTTTTCAGCTTCCTCAAATGGGTAACTCGTTAATGCAGTTGGCTGTAAAACCAACCTCAGCTGGGCCTCAGCTACAGCCCTCAGACCCTGGCCAACACGCGGACACCTGTCCAGCTCTAGGGACCAGATCCCCATGATGTGGCCTTTCTAATCCAGGCCTTAGAAACATACTTTTACATTCCCCAATTCTTCTAAACAAATGTTCAATAGCAAATGTTTCAGGGTCTCCTTTAGCAGTTATTTGTCTATTCTAATAGCTTTCAGACCCCCAGATGTCTTCAAAACAAACGTTTAAAAGCTGAATTGTTGGGCTGGGGATGTGGCTCAAGCGGTAGCGCGCTTGCCTGGCATGCGTGCAGCCCGGGTTCGATCCTCAGCACCACATACCAACAAAGATGTTGTGTCCGCCGAGAACTAAAAAATAAATATTAAAAAAAATTCTCTCTCTGTCTCTCTCTCTCCCTCTCTCTCTCTGTCTCTCTCTCTCCTCTCTCACTCTCTCTTTAAAAAAAAAATAAATAAATAAAAAATAAAAGCTGAATTGTTAAAATTGGCCCAGAAGAAATAAAATACTTGAGTTAATAAATGAATAACAAAGAAGTCAAATTGCTGTAAATGATCACCCTACCATAGTCTTTTCATTGGTTTGTAGACACTTGGAGAATGCACCATGTGTGCTGGAACATGGCACTGCCTTTTCTATTTTTAAGGACAGTTAACAGTTTTTACAGGAGGAAGTGGCATCTCGCCCTGCCTGCCAAGGCTTGCTTTCTGTGTTTTGGGCTTATTATTGTTTGCTTAGGTGTTTGCACACTGTTCCTTGTACTCTATTCCAGGGATCCTTCATCAGTTACCTGCCTATCCAGTTCAGTGCTCTTCCTGTAAGTCAGCCTCCTGTGTAGGTCACCACCTTCCTCCCACCTTCTGTGGGTTGGGCCTCTCTGGATCCCATTTCAGGTTTTCTGTTTACTGTGTTCCCTTCCTCTCTTGGGCCCACGACCTTCCTGCACTCTCCGCCACTTTGGTTTGAAGTTGTGGGGTGTTATTCTGTAAAGGTACTCTCGGGTCACCTTCACGTTTTAACGTGTACACCCGGTACTACTTATCATCACCACAGCTGGACGGGGTAAAGCACCCAAGCTACAAGGCCTGCGCTGCCTGGGTCCTGCCAGCCGCCAGCCTCTGATGCCTGGCTGTGCAGGCCCTACACCATCGTGGGGCTCCGCAGGGCCGGCCGGTGTTCAGAGAGCAGGCCGAGAGCAGGGGTTTGTGACGTTTATTCAAACTTCATCCATACAATAAAGAGCTCTGATTTTTAAATTTCATTTACATTAGCAGTTAAAAGAAAAGTAACAGTCAATGAAACATGACGTTTTAAAGTGCCTTCATGAGGGAGTGATCACAGAGAGAGGGCAAGCCCAGGTGGAGACAGAAGGAGCCGCATCTGGACTGGAGATGAGGTGGACCACACTCTGCCGCGTTTCCAAGTGTGCACCAGGAGAAGTGCTGCGGTCTTCACAGGCCCAGTGCGGGATCCCCTCCTCTGGAGGTCTGGCCAGCAAGGGCTCCGCGCACCACAGGGTGGGGAGGGCGCTTCACCTTGGCCACAGCAGGGCGGCAGCCCCCACGCAGCAGGGCAAGGAGACAGGGAGGACTATAAAGTGACACATGTTCAGCAGCATGAGACCATAAATACGCCTTTACATCCAGATCGTATGTACACACACAAACACACATACCACACCTGCCCTCCGGGAAGTCTCAAGAGGACAGATTTGTTTCTGAAACACAAAAAGGGTTTGAAAAGCAGAAGGGTTTTGGTTCCAGTTCTGCCATGATTTGAACACAGGGGACCCCTGCACACATCACTCAAGGTGACCCTAACCACACCTGCGGACTTTCCTGCAAGGCCAGGTAGGTGGTGCCAGAGAAGGATTTGGTCCTGCCTGAGGCGCCAGCACACCTGTTCACCCAGCACAGTGGACAGGGAGCTCAGAGACCCCACAGAAACTGCATCTGTACACTGTCTTTAAAAACAACAAAAATACACTAATTCAGTGAAGCTCTTTAAAAAATTGAGAGTCCCCTTATTTTGTAGAAAAGAAGGTTAATATTTTGAATTAGAGTTTAAATTTTCTTGTGAAATGAGGCCGATGCATGTAGAAGGACCTGGTTTCTTACTGCTTTTGGTTGTGAGACACCACCTGATTTTATCCATGTGTGTGGGTTCACCTGTGACCAGGTGTGCTTCAAGGGGTGCCCAAATCATTTAGTGATATAGACAACGAGCTTTGATGTAAACCCCAGTAACAAAAAAATAGTTTTATATCAAATACAGTATCAAATTATCATTTCATGTAAACACAGTGATTCTTGGTAAAGATTTGAGGCCAAAGTACCACAAAAAATGGCCACGGGATTAATCCCTGTTTTTAAAAAATCAGAAACTTATAAAAGACAAGAGTTCCCCAGGCCCCTCTCTCCGGCTGCTTTCCGCGGGGCTCCCACCGGGACCTTCCCACAGCCAGCACCAGACCAGGCGTCGGAGGCGCCCGCGCGCGGGTGAGGGGCTGTCCCCAGGCCCCTCCCCGTCCACTCGGCACCTGGCAGTGGCCCTGGGGCCTGGTCCTGGGAGCTGGGGGCCGGCTGCTGAGGCCCGTCCTCTGCGGCCGGCGGGTGCACCGGGGTCCTCCTGGGTTTGGCTATCTCGGAGCGCCGTCCCCTCCCCAAACTACGCGAGCCCGAGCAAAAGACGACCAGGGGCTGCACGCGGGTCAGCGCCGGGCGCAGGGCAGAGCGGTGCTAGCCCTGGAGGTCGGAGAAGGGCGCCGGGCAGCCCTCGCTGCAGCTCGAGGAGTTGCTCAGCACGGCCGACCCGGGGCTCGACTCTGCGGGGACACCGGGAGGTCGGTGCGGCGGCGGCCCTCCGCCCCTCCCGTCGGACGGGCTGGGGCCGCGCCCGCACCGAGGGCCTTACCTGAGCTGCTCAGACACTGCGCCGAGCTGGACGTGCCCAGCAGAGCCGACAGGCTGCCGGCCGGCACCCAGCCCTCCTGGCCGCTGCTCAGGTCCCGGACGTACCTGAAAGAGGC